TTTTTTTTGTAGAGACAGAGTCTCACTTTGTTGTCCTTGGTAGAGTGCCATGGCATCACACAGCTCACAGCAACCTCCAACTCTGGGCTTAAGCTGTTCTCTTGCCTCAGCCTCCTGAGTAGCTGGGACTACAGGTGCCTGCCATAACACCCAGCTATTTTTTGGTTGCAGTTTGGCCAGGGCCGGGTTTGAACCCGCCACTCTTGGTATATGGGTCTGACGCCCTACTCACTGAGCCACAGGCACTACTCCTCCCCTCTTTTTTTTTTGAGACAGAGTTTCAAGCTGTTACCCTTGGTAGAGTGCTGTGGCATCACAGCTCACAGCCCACAGCTCACAGCAACCTCAGATTCTTGGGCTTAAAGGATTCTCTTGCTTTAGCCTCCCAGGTAGCTAGGACTATAGGCGCCCTCCATAATGCCAGGCTATTTTTTGGTTGGGGTTGTCATTGTTGTTTGGCAGGCCCAGGCTGGATTCGAACCCTCCAGCTCCTGTGTATGTGGCTGACACCCTAGCCACTTGAGCTACAGGCACCAAGCCCAGCTTTTACTGCTTTTATAAATGAGTTCATGTGTAGTACATATAGGTATAGTAAAATTTTTTTTTTTTTTGAGACAATCTTACTATGTCCCCCTTGGTAGAGAGCTGTGGCATCACAGCTCACAGCAACCTCAAACTTTTGGGCTTAAGTAATTCTCTTTTTTTGAGACAGAGACTTAAGCTGTCCCCCTGGGTAGAGTGCCATGGCATCACAGCTCACAGCAACCTACAATTTCTGGGCTCAAGTGAGTCTCCTGCCTCCACCTCCCAAGTAGCTGGGACTACAAGCGCCCACCACAATACCTGGCTATTTTTTGGTTGCAGCATCATTGTTGTTTGGCAGACCCAGGCTGGATTCGAACCTGCCAGCTCAGGTGTATGTGGTTGGCGCCTTAGCCACTTGAGCCACAGGTGCCGAGCCTATTTGTTTATTGAGACAAAGTCTCACTATGTCACCCTTGGTAGAATGCTGTGGTGTCACAGCTCATAGCAACCTAAAACTATTTTTTTTTATTTTTTTGAGACAGAGTCTCATTATGTCACCTTTCGTAGAGTGAGGTGAAGTCACAGCTCACAGCAACCTCAAACTCTTGGGCTTAAGCGATTCTCCTGCCTCAGCCTCCCAAGTAACTGGGACTACAGGCACCCACCACAATGCCTGGCGATTTTTGTTGTTGTTGTTGCAGTTGTCATTGTTGTTTACCTGACCTGGGCCGGGTTTGAACCCTCCAGCCTAGGTGTATGTGGCCTGTGCCCTACCCACTGAGGTATGGGTGCCACCTAACCTCAAACTCTTGGGCTAAAGTGATTCTCTTGCCTCAGCCTCCCAAGTAGCTGGGACTACAGGCTCCCACCACACTATTTTTTGTTGCAGTTGTCATTGTTGTTTAGCTGGCCCTGGCCAGGTTCAAACCTGCCACCCTTGGTATATGTGGCTGACGCTGTAACCACTGTGCTACAGGCACAGAGCTATTCCTTCAGTTTATAATGGACATTTCTGAGATCCTGTATGGTGTTTCGACACCTGCAGTAGTGGGTACACAAGGATTTTTGCTGAGCATTTATTGAATTGAAGAAAATGGCTAAAATTGTTACTTAGCTTAGATTCAATAATTAAGGGTTCTTTAAAAAATTGCATGATTTTTATTGTGATAAGATTATATTTAACAAAATTTATGATTTTAACCTTTTTTCTTTTTTCTTTTTTTTTGGCCAGGGCTGGGTTTGAACCCAGCATCTCCAGTATATGGGGCCAGCGCCCTACTCCTTTGAGCCACAGGTGCCACCTGATTTTAACCATTTTTGAGTACAATTCAGTGGCATCAAGTATAGTCACACTTTTGTGCCATCATTCCCCCTATCCATTTCCAGAACTTTCATCATCCCAAACTCTGTGCCTCTTAAAAATGGTAATTCCCACAATTTTCTCCTCTTCCTGGTCCTTAGTAATCTCTCTTTCTCTCTGGTTTTTTTTTAGTAATCTCTATTCTAATTTTTAACTTTGTGAATTTGATCATTCATATAACTGGGATGATACATTTGACCTTTTTTGCCTTACTTCATTTTGGATAGTATTTCAAGGTTCATCCATGTTGTAGCATAATTAAAAGTATTTTGTTTAAAATCTGTTTCAGGCCACAGAATTTATCAAACAGAACATCGTGATATCCAGTGGATTTGTGGGAGGCTTTTTGCTAGGTCTTGCATCTTAAGGACATGAATGTTCTACTGCAGTGGATTTGATAATGAAAAGAGAAGTGGTGGCAACAAGGTGGTCTCTCAACAGTATGTGCTGCCAAAGTCTGCAGGGCAAGGAGGAACCAACTAGCTGGACAATACTAAACTTACAACTTAGCATTTTTGCCATCTGAAGCTTGGCAAATTTGTACCTGCTGTTAAACAACCTGTATGTTATGTGAAAATGGTATTCCTGAGTAAAACATAGCTTTCGTCAGTTTTTAAAAATTTGTTTAGAAATTAACCTATAAATATCACCATTGGGTATAGATATGAAGAGAAAAAAGTCTGTTGGATTGAAATACGATTCTCTTTTTATTTAAATAATGGAACATGTTATTTAAATCACAAAAATAATATTATTGTGGTTTATGGTATAGTGCTGACTTTTTTTTTAGTGCTGACTTTTTGTTTTAGAAGATATGTTTGTAATAAATTGAAGAACTATAATGCCCTTTTGTGGAAAGCTTTAGAAATACTATAATTATTAAAAAATTAAACAGAATCTATTGATGTAACAATGCCAATTTTAAGTTCTTTTTTTCCCCTGCATTTTTTTTCTTATAACTGTACATTTCAAAAAAGGTTCTTCTAAGGAAATACTATATGTATAAAGTTCTTTTTCCTTTTTTGGTATCTGTAATTTTAAACGTATCTCCTTATATGTAAGCTTATGATTCTTTTGTTTGTTTATCCTGCCATCCTGGTGCAAAGCTAGTTATTTTGGGAGCACATATAGTTGGATCACTGATTCATTCTAGTAACCTTGAATGCATCTCCTTTTTTCTTTCTAAAAATTCTATTTATCTCTTCTTCACTAAGAGGTAAAAATCACTTTAAAAGACATAAGAGTATAGTGTGAATTTGCTGTCTGAAGAACAGTGATTTTCTACGTAATGAAATTGTAGCTGAAAGTGAATTGTCTCTTTGATCTAGTCTGAGATGTTAAGTACCAAGGCTTTCAGGCTTTTGCTAGCATTATGTGGTTGAACACTAGTCCAGTTTACTTGTTTCTCAGGGCCAATATCCTACTCCCCAGACACTCATTTGCCCAGAAAAGCTTTCTGTATCATTATTTTGTCTGTAGAGTTCTATATTAGAATTGGGAAAAACAGCAGAACGTGTATTAGAGTGTTCAGATTGGAAAGACTTTACAGATAATCAGACCGTTTTCTTTCTTTCTTTTCTTTTCTTTCTCTTTTTTTTTGAGACAGAGACTCACTATGTCACCCTCGGTAGAGTGCCGTGGCATCACAGCAACTTCAAACTCTTGGGCTTAAGCGATTCTCTTGCCTCAGCCTCCCAAGCCTCAGCTGGGACTACAGGCACCTGCCACAATGCCCGCATATTATTTTTTGTTGTCGTAGTAGTTGTCGTTGTTTAGCAGGCTTAGGCTGGATTTGAACCCGCCAGGTCCTATGTACATGGCTGGCACCCTAACCACTGAGCTTTGGGCACTGAGCCAGACCATTTTCTTTTCATAGGAAATTACCATAGTATGTTTTGTGTATGGTAACGTATGACATTTTATACTTTCAAGATTGGTTACAGGCTGTGTGCTTTCATTATCATGACACTCCTTAAAATTGAATGTGGGATTGATCTTTAGTTGCTTCCTTTATTATTGTTAGTGCCTCAGATACAATGCTAAATAAAATTCTGACTTTCTTAATATAAAGTGATTTTGCTTATAAATACTTGTTTTTTCTTCTTTGAGCTTTTCTCTGTTTCTGCCTTGCTGAGCTTTTCATTGCTGTGGAACTAAAAGGGACAAATATTCATGAATATGATTAGGTTACGTTAAAACCTTGCCTGTGCTTCTGTGTGCCACTTACACTACTGCATGACACTGATACAGTGAGGTAGGCTACTGGAGGGAGTTCTAGTAGCTGGCTCAGTTTATTTTATTTTATTTTATTTTTTTTGAGACAGAGCCTCAAGCTGTCCCCCTGGGTAGAGTGTTGTGGCATCACAGCTCACAGCAACCTCCAACTCCTGGGCTCAAGCGAGTCTTCTGCCTCAGCCTCCCAAGTACCTGGGACCACAGGCACCCACCACAGCGCCTGGCTATTTTTTGGTTGCAGCCATCATTGTTTGGTGGACCCGGGCTGGATTCGAACCTGCCACCTCAGGTGTATGTGGCTGGCGCCTTAGCCACTTGAGCCACAGGCGCCGAGCCAGTTCTATTTATTTTGAAAATATTTTTAGTGTCAGTTTTGTGCACGATATGCTAAGAAAGTTGGGGCACAAAAATGTCAGCCTTGAGCTTCCACTTGAATAGACACTAACATATTCCTATATGAAAAGTAATATGCTAATATAGGGGAACCTGACATATGACCTAGTGGCAAATGAAGAGTAGGGATAACTACTTTGAGAGTGCAAACAAAAATGAAAATTGAAAAAGGTAGTACTTTTTTTTTTTTTTTTTTGCAGTTTCTGGCTGGGCCTGGGTTTGAACCTGCCACCTCTGGCATATGGGGCCAGTGCCCCACTCCTTTGAGTCACAGGTGCTGCCCTAATTTTTTTTTTTTTTTTTTGAGATAGAGTCTCACTATGTTGCCCTTGGTAGAGCGCTGTGGTATCACAGCTCACAGCAACCTCAAACTCTTGGGCTTGGGTGATTCTCTTCCCTCAGCCTCCCAGGCACCTGCCACAACACCCACCTATTTTTGTTGTTGTCATTGTTTAGCTGGCCTGGGCCAGGTTCGAACCCTCCAGCCCTGGTGCACGTGGCTGGTGCCCTAACCACTGAGCTATGGGCACCATGCCAGTAACATTTTATTTTTGCCTATACATTTCTCTGTTGTAATTTGAAAATTATTGTATGCAAGTGCAAAATATTACCAGTACTTTCCAGACTGTCCCATCCCTGTTGAAACTTCCCCATTCTGCCTCCTGTCTATGCTGTTTCTTTGTGTGGCAATCCAGTGAATCGGGCTCCATCACAAAGACTTTGTGAACTTGGCTCGGCGCCTGTGGCTCAAGCGGCTGAGGCG